CTTGATACAAGCTGTTACTGAAAAAGGGGCTTCCATAAAATCCGGCTGTAATTACTCAGAAATTATCTACCCTAATGGTGTGAAATTCAACATAAAAAGGAATGGATGCCTATACTATTTAAATATTCCAGTAACCTCCAAAACTGCAATGCGTTGCATAAAACAATGGCATCAAATTCTTGGACATTACAGTCTGAAAGACATTATACAGCTACAAGAAGTTGTAGAAGACATGAAAATTGTTGATAAATCACATTTAAACTGAAATATGTGTCCAAATTCCAAATGGTACAATAAAATTGGACTATTCCATAAGAAAATGTTGCCAATTTGTTTACTAAACCTATTGGCAGAACAAAATTAAATAAGTTGTTTCTTGCTCTAAATGGAGCACTATATTTTTTTTTTATTCCCTCTTTTTTCTTTTATTACCCTTCCCCCTTTATAAGGAAAAAAAAAATATATGTAAATGTAGGCACCACTGTGTGATTGCTGGAAAATGAGCATAGCATAATAAAAACAACCTTAAACTTGATGAAAACAAAATTTTATCATCAAAATGTTTATGTTACTATTAAGAAGAAAGAAAGTAATTTAATTATTTTTTTTTTAATTTTCTGTCTTTTTAACATTCTAACTTTTGATAAAAAAAAAAAAGACACCTTGTTTCTCTTTATCATTTTTTTTTTTTTTAAATGTCAGACTTTAATGAAACTTTCAGAAGCTATTCACAAATGATAGAAATTATTATAAATATTTTTTTTTTTTTTAAAGTCATGATAATTTTTTTTTTTGTATTTATTGCCCTCCCCATAACTAATTTTATGAAAACTCTAGAAATTCAAAAGTGTACATTAGTACAATTAGTTAAAAGCACAAGGCTTTGAGGAAAGTAAATCATATTTTGTTTTTAGTTGGACTATTTAAATAGTATAGGCATCCATTCCTTTTTATGTTGAATTTCACACCATTAGGGTAGATAATTTCTGAGTAATTACAGCCGGATTTTATGGAAGCCCCTTTTTCAGTAACTATAAAATCAGCTCTGAATTGTAACATACAAAACTCAATAAAACAAAGATATTATTTAATTTCAAAAGCTTTTAGTTGCTTTCAGTTGTTTTTAGGAATAGGAATATTGTCTGAAAGCAAAATGAATGTGTGGAAATACAATACCATAAAATGTAATAAATGTACATAAAATTTTAATATATATTATGTATACTTATGATAAAATTTCATAAGAAAGATACCTAATTAATTAGGTACCTTTCTTATGAAATGTTATCTCCTTCTCAAGTCTTATTTTAATGTTTTTTTATAGTATTATATTTTTTCATAAACATAAAAGGTGGAAAGCTAAATACCAAAAAATAAAAAAAATTAGAGCACTGAAACTTTTCCTTAAAAATAACGAGGTAAATAAGATGGTTCACTTAAAGCTAATTCATGTCAATTCTGTCCTTCCATATGATAACTTTTCCTCACGTAAGTTGTCAATACGTGATAAAATCATCACTTATCACACACATCAATCATCACCACTGTTAAGACTTGCTTTCTCTTATTTTAAACTACATTTTTTGGCACGGAAATTAAGTAATGTTTGTTTTAAAATATATTAAATAAACGTTATAATTTCTAATTTTCTGAAAATAAATTTAAAACAGTACAATTGATTTGACAGAATTTTAAATGGAGAAAAAAAAAAACAAAAAAAAAACACTCATTTAAAAAATTGAAAAAGAAAAAAGGTTGACAATTGATTCTGTGACAATTTTCCTGAATAAAAAAAAAAGGAAAAAAAATTTTTAATGAAAATTTTGGACATGCTAGGAATGATTGAAAAATGCAATTAAAAAAATACTTTGATCTTTTCTCTTGATAATAACATTTAGACAATAAAATTATTTTCGTCAAGTTTAAGGCCATTTTTATCATGCTATGCTCATTTTTCCAGCAATCTCACGGTGGTCTTTATGTAAATGTTTGCATGTATCTTGTTTGTATTTAGATAGAAAGTGGGTATTTAGGGGAGATAAATGAGTGCACTCATACATTAGACAGAGGGGGGGGGGGCTAAATTTCAAACAGTGAAAATGTCTGCAAAACACTTCCCTTCCCCTGTTGTAGGCAGAGGTACACAAGTACATGCTGGGATTTTTTTCTTGGCCAATAGAGTAGGCTGGTTTACTGTTTGACATGATTCAGTCCAGATCTGCCGACTTAAGTGGTTTGAAGCTGACTTGTTGCTCTCTCCTTTTGGACAGAGAGGAACTTGGACAAGGCTATGCTGAAGAGTAAAGTTGCAACTGAGGAAGTAGACAAGCCCAACACCGTGTATGCAGGGTCTATGGGGAATTTTTGCCCAAGTTTACAGGCTCGTAATTGCCCCATATAAAAAGTGGCCTTGTGCCACATTCTGCTTTGTGGGGAGGTGAGGTAAATAACCTCAGTCCAGATCTGCCTTGCCTAGAAGGCAGAATGCTATGCCTGCTTGTCTGAACTTGCTTTTGTGTGCCAATGCCAATTCTTAGTTTGTAAACTTTTTGCTTTCTTACTGTTAATTTGTTTTGCATATATTGTTACCTTGATATTTCATTTTTGCCCTTTGTATTTTTATTGCAAACTTTATTAATTCTGTTTGGACAATTTTGTTATTTATTTTGCTACTCATTCCACAAACTGTATATCAGAAAAAAAAAAAAAAAAAAAAAAAAAAAAATCAAAAAAAGGTAGCCAATGTATGATTTAAGGCAATATTTTTCATCAGACAACACTTCTGAAATTATGTAAACAATAAATTAATGTATATCTAATGCATGTTTCTCCCTCCTGCACATTAAGTGTTGTATTTGCCTCTCACCCTTTCATGCAACCGAGTTTCATGCACAAATTGAAGACTGACTGTTGTAATATGCTAATAGTTATAACCTACTGTTAAGATAGTAAATCAGTCTTTCTTTATAGCAGTGTGTGTGTGTATATGTTTATTTTAATACCTATACACAACTGATATAAAAAAAACCTTGGATAATACAATTTGCAAATGAAAATATATTTAAACAAACTGGTATCTGAGGAAAAAAATAAAACACTAAAAACGACCAAGCAGGTTCAGGCGGGAGGTGTTGAAATTGCCTAACACTAATGCCTAGCCAAAAGAAAAACCCAATCAAATAAAATAAGAAAAATGCACTAGTACATCCCTCTCAATGTTAACATTTTTTTCATTGGCTAAATTATCAACAACTCGTTTTCCCTTCTTTCCTTTATTACTTCTTTTTCTTTGTAGAAGGGAAGATTTCTTGTCTTTCTTTTCTTACCTCTTTCTATTTCTCTTTCCTTTTATTGATTTCTTGTCTTCCTCTTTTTTCTGCTTTCACCAGTGCATTTCTTTTTCCTTTTATAATAAATTTATATTTCTTTCATTTCATGGAAATTTTTTAGTCTTTAATTTTTTAAAAATATAAAAGGATGTTTCATAACTAGCATTTTTTAAAAAAATTGTTTATTTGATCACCACCTGATGAGATGTTGGAATTGGGCATCAAAACAAATATGCATCTTTTTTAGTGGTAACTTAAATGTTTGAATGTAATAACTTATAATAATTATCGTTCTACTTTTGTATTGAGCTCTCTTAAATATTATAAACGTTTGATTTTATATTTGTTTCGTTCTCTTTACGCATACATGTGTGTGTATTTATTTATTTATTAGGACCTTGAACAATTTCTTGCTGTTTTCAAACAGATGACACTCACAGAAATAGCATGCATATACTTTCAGATGGTAACACATCTATAAGGAAGCTTGAAATTCAGTGTATGTCATTTTGCCAAAGTGTAAACAACTTTGTTTTTTATAGCATTAAACATTGGATTTTATGCCAAAGAAAGTGTATTTTCGGGGAATTTTACTGCACTACTTTACTCAAAAGAAATCTGCAGCAAGGAATTCTTGTTGAAACAACAGCATGCAGAGATTTTTTTTTTTTTTTTTTTTTAGACGCTTCAAAAATAATGATTTTGATGTTGAAGATTTTCCAGTGTGCTCTGGCACACTGGAAAAGTTTGAAGGTGAAGAATTGGCGGCATTATTTCATGAAAACTCATGTCAGGTGAAAGCTGAACTTGCAGAATCATTAAGAATTGATCACAGAACAGTTTCAAAAAGTTTGAAAGCATTAGGAATGATTCAAAAGCAAGGACATTGGGTGCCATATGAGTTGAAGTTGAGAGACATCGAATGGCATCTTATCACATGTGGACAGCTGCTTCAACAGCAGAAAAGGTTTTTTGTATCATATGATCGATGAAAAGTGGATACACTACGATAACCCCCAAGTGTACAACATTGTGTGGTAAGCCCACCCATGCATAACATTGGTGGCAAAGCTGAATATCCATGCTTTGAAGCTTCTGCTCTGCATTTGGTGGGATCAGCTGGGGGTAGTTTATTATGAGCTGCTCAAACTGACCAAAACCATCACAGGAGATTGTTACAGACTACCACTGATGTGTGTGAGCCAAGCATTGAAGAAAAAAATGGCCACTATATGAGTAGAGACACGACAGTGTGATTTTGCAATATGACAACACTAGGCCACATGTTGCGAAACAGGTGAAAACCTACTTGAAAACGCTTAAATGAGAAGTCTTATCCCACCCACCATATTCACCAGATATTGTCCCATCCAATTATCACATGTTAATGAGCCTTAAGGATTACAGTATGTCATAACATCTATATTAAAAAATAAATATTTCAGGAATTGTTTAAAAATTTAATGAATTTCTTTAGTAGTAAACATGTTTCATTTTATGTTCTTTATGATAGTTTTTTTTATATTAAAACAGAAAATGTAAATATTTAAATTTAGATACTGCTTTACAAAACTTACGCCAACCACCAAATTTCACTATTTTTGTTGTATTACAAGTAAAATCTAGTGTTTACAGGTTTCTTGTAAACAAAAGTGTATTTCAAATACCTACCTTTATAAGCTTTTGAAGGGCTTCTGGATCTTTTGTTAAGTTGAGAGCTTTTTTAAGATCTTTAATATTTTCTAATAAACTTTCTACCGATTGTGTGGATGTTGAAACATTTGGTACTACTTCACTTGGGAGCAATTTGATGTCACCATTCTCTTTGTTCTCTCTAAGTTTATTTTTTACATGAACAATTTCATTTTCCAGTTCTAAAATCCTTTTGTCCTTATTTTCACATTTCAATCTAAGTTCTTGGATAGCTTGTTCAAAAGAACGAATTCCTTGGTCTTTTAATTCTCGGTCACAGGGCAAGCTGCAATGTATGCTACAATCAAGTAGATTATTTGTGCAACCTTTATTTGGAGACATACTTCCCTCTAAAGCCATTGAATGCTGAAAGTAAAATAATAATGAACATTTAATAAATAAAATGACAGAAAAATCTCATACAAATTCCAAAGTTTCATGAAAAATTAAAAAGCTACACAATTCCTTAAATCTATTGTAAAAAAATTTCTAAAGGTGATGAAGGTTGTAACAATTGTTCTAAGATTTGTGATCATGTACATAGTCAATAAATAAGATATGACCAAAAACCAAGAATTCAAATTAACCCTATCAATTGCTTCTTATACTGAATTAAGAAAACTAGAGTTGGTATGGTGAAAGTGTGAATCTGATCACATTTTGTCATTGAATTATAACCTGATACTGTTCTTTAATTAACCACAAAACAAATCGGTTGATTCTGTTATGATGGAAATTAAATTGTATAATTTTGACTAATTCACAAGATAAAAACAAAATGTTGAAATTTTATACATTTTCAAATAAAATTAAAATGTTCACAACAGTATTTTTAAACCACACCAATCTTTTCTCTCTCTTAAACACACTATGTAATAAATTTAAAATAAAAATGAAGAAACTTTGATTTGATCCCTCACCTAGTAAGGGAAGACATGAGTGGCAGGTGTTACCTAACCATTATCTAGTGACTGTATCACATAAGATAATTCTTGGAAGATGGAATATTAGAACATTAAACCACTATGGCAAGTTATAAAATATAAAGTAGGAAATGAGCAGGTTATAAGATATAAGGGAACTAACTAGACAAAAGACATTCATCAACAAGATGCATAAAATCCAAGGACGGAACACTGATATTAGAGAAAGAAAATCTACTTCAGAGATGGAATGAACATATATCGGAAATCTCTTCCATAAAGAAAGAGAACAATCAGCAATACAAAACAGACTTGAAATATTAGAATCTGAAGTGGAAGCTGCACTGGTCAACTTGAACAGAAACAAAATGGACACAATTGTAATAGAGATGCTGGAATAAACAAGATTACACAAATAATAATAAATGAAATCTACAACAGTGGTAAGTAGATCTATTTTCATAGCACTACCACTGCATAAGAAGCCAGGTGCAAATGAATGTGAACTCCATCAGACAATCAGCCTAATGAGCAATATAAAACTTATCCAAATTCTGAGAAATAGAATATGCAACAGAATCAGACTGGAAATAGGACAAAAACAGTGCTAGTTCATCAAAGTCACTGGAACAAGGAAAGCAATATTTTATGCTCAGAACATTATCAGAAAGAGCAATACAAATGTAGATGAATGTGTACCTGTGTTTTATAGATGACACAAAGGTGTCTGATAAAGTAAACCACAAAGATCTGTTGGAACTGCTCAGTAACTGTCTTGTATCAACAGATCTTGCTTAAATACTCCTTAATTTTATTATAGACAGCATAACAAGTTATGTTTATCTATAAAAGATGTGTCAAAAATCTTGTTGAGAGAATTATGAATTCAGAGAAAATTGATTAATTTTTTTCCCCCATGCCCTTTGGTGAAAGATCTAGATATCAGTGCTTATAGTAAAAGTTCATGATAGTCTGGGTGAGCAGTGAAATAGTAAGAAAATATTAAATTAACTCAGGCACAAATTCAACTATGTTCAATATTTTCATTTGCATATTTAAGTTTATTAATTCTTCAATTTATATTTTGATATATTAAAAACAAATTACATCTTTGCTTCAAGTTACTTTAAGTTAGACAAAAAAAAAAAAAAAAAAACTTAGACCCATTTTTTGCTTTATAAGTTTCCAGACTTCTTTAAAAGTGGGTGTATGTATGCAAATAGGCATCAACTGAGTGTGACATTTTAACACTTTTGCAAATTCATATTGAATCATTATGACTAATACAAGTTTTCTGATCAAAATTTTTAGTTTTAAAATTTTATTATTTTGATTCATTTTACTTTTAAATATTAATTTCTCCATTATAAGGCCATGTTGACATTAGAATAAATCTATGACTGTTCAAGAATATAGATTTTATCTTGGGATGGGTAAATTCAATATTTATAAACAAAAAGAACTATAAATAATATATGGTCATGTGCAAACACTTCCAGGAGCATGTGCACTGTGCAATTTATACATTCATCATGACAATGGGCTTGTCTATTCTTCATATATTGTGCAGGATTTTTTTGGTAAAAAAATGTTGCTCATGTATATCAGTTTTCTAACATTCATATTTAGTTCCCTGCAATGTCTCGCTCTTCTCAAAGCTAAGACTACTATTGAAAGATTACAGACAGCAAAACATGATTAAGAGGTAACTGATAGAAAGAGGACTTTGCAGGCCATTTTTAGAAGTGTGTAAGTGGGTGCTGATAAGTTCTTAGAATAAAGATGAGATTCTCCCCAAATTCTGTTTGGTCAGATTTTTGGAAATGGGTAGAATTTTTCAGTAGTTATAAATAAATAAAATGGTAGATGGAGATTAAAGTATTATGGTTTTGATATCTGGTAATCCTTAAAAACACATTCAATATATAGGTCTCCTTTTTGTAAAATTTTTAGTCTATTTGAATGAATAAAGCAAATCTATAAAAAAATAAAAATAATTTTATGCATTTCAAGTTTTAAAACTTTAGTCAATTTATCACTGATCCACCATTTAAAAGAAATTATTTTTTGAAAAATGATCGAAAACTTAAGACACTAAAATGGGTGCAGTTTTTAATTTTTTTTTAAAATGCAAGCAAAAACACTACCCACTGTTTTTAGGAAATTATCCATTTAAATGATGTTTTCAGCAATTATTCATGAATGAATTGTCTATTAGAAAATTTTGTAGAACAATGGCAAGTATTTATTTTATAGTTTTACAAAGAAAATCCTTGAAGATATTATTCCAATAAAAACGTTTTTGCAATATCAAATCAGATCTTGAAAATTTGTCCCGAAATCTTAGTCTTATTTTAATTTCTTTATAATATATTTCCCATAAAGCATTGTAAACAAAGATGAAGGTGAAAGAGGTGAAGGTGAAAGCTAAAGAAAAGAAAAAAAAAAAAAAAGAAAATTAGAGTGCTGAAAGTTTTCCTTAAAAATAACGAGGTAAATAACGAGGTTCACTTAAAATTTTAAAAAATCTATATAATTTCACGTCTCTCCTTCCCTTACGTAATCCATCATTCATCACCTGTCAAGTGACGCAAAATGTTATGACCTGCTTTGTTTAATTTTTAAACTACACCTTTTTGGCACAGAAACTAAAAAAAAAAAAAAAAAAAATTTAAAAAAAAAACTGCTCCAAATCGTAAAATAAAAAAAAATGCAATAAACTAATTATCAAATTAGATAGGCTTTTTTTTTTTTTTGCTTTTTTTAAATAATATGAGTTGTTATTATCTGAAGAAATATATTTCTTTTTTTTACAAAGTTGGCAGTCGTGAAAAAAAAAAAAAAATTGATGATTTAATTAATTTCTCCGAGGAGTCCTGCTTATAAGTAATAAAACAATTTGCAAACTCTTGGAAATTCTAGAAAATTTCATAAAATTAATTTATGGTGTGGGAGATTTTCTAAAAATAAAAATTTCAAAAATAAATTCATTCATTTTTTAATAAGTCCTGAAAGTTTCATTAAAATTAGACAATTATTTGATATTTGCAAGAATTTCCAAATTAATGGGTTTTCCCCTGAAACTGCAAAACTGATTTTTTAGCAATAATTGGAGGTACCTACAAAGTAACATTGCCAAAGGAGTGACAAAATAGGGATCAGACGATTGTTGATAACTTGATCAAATCCATGAAAAATTGACTTATTTTTAGATTCTTCAAACATGTCTTTACTTACAAATAGCAACGAGATTATCAAAATCGCACTGAAAAATAAAAAAAAAAAAAAATATTCAATATACACTGTAGTGTAGTGAATGTAGTTTTTTTTTTCCTGTCAAATTTCAAACTCGAAGAAAATGCTTATTAATAAGCTAAAGTTGGTGCAACTTTCAACCAAATTTATTTTAAAAAATGTTTTTAATTTTTAGTAAGGTTCGGAATGAATTCATTATGTTCGCACTTGATATTGCATAATTTATTTTTTTTACTGAAATAAAATCTTCAGAGACTTATCTCCAAAATTTTCTAATAAAATTAAAAAGGACCTTCATTCATTCATTAAATGTGCTGAAAATTTCGTTTAAATTGGAGAATTCCCAGATTTTCATTTCAGAAAAACTTACCCATTTTGGTGGGATATGAGGATAGAATTTTAAGGGACATAAATCGGTGTTTAGTATGCAGAAATCGTTTGGAACGCTAAACTTAATAATACTAGTCAAAATTCAAAAAATAAAATAATTCCTTCCCAATTCTATATCATTCATCATTACAACAGTTAAAAACAAAAATGAATTTAAATTATTTTTTTTTATAAATTTGCATAATTTTTAATTAATATATCGTAATAAATTACTTAAAATTTAGTTTGTCAGTCAATTAAGTCGAAGTGGGTCAGCAGGTTCGAGAGTGCAAAAGAAAAAAAAAAGAAAAAAGAAAACTGGTTGTAGAAGGTCGTAGAATGTACGACCTTCTACAACCAGTTTTTTTAATTTACAAAATAATCTACGACTTGTAGATTATTTTGTAAATTATTTCTAATCTAAATTCCAAAAGTTTTAAAACCAAAATCTAAAGCCGAAAAAGAATGGACTAATGAAGTTAGTCATGCTATTATTTAATTATTATATCAAAATTTACTACTTAAAAAGTAAAGTAAAATCATTAGTAAGAAAAAGGATTGCAACGGGAGTCATAACCAAATATTTAAAAAAAAAAAAAAAAAAAAAAAAAAATTAACTATTAAGTTAAAAGTAAAGTTTTCTTAAACGCATCAAATCAATTAATAACTAGCAGCAGGTGGCAGTAACGGAAGAATAAAAGAAAACGCAAAAGTCAAAACCTAAAAGCTTAAATTATAAAACTAGAGAACAAATTAAGGTTAAAAAAAACAAAACAAATCCTGGTTGTGTTGTAAAAAAAAGTAAAAGCTATATACAATCACCCCAAATCTAACTTTCAGTTTACAAAAAGAAATTGAAATATTTTTTTCTACGATTCCTATGTACTTGGAAATAATACAAATTTTAAAACAAATTTGCGATCATACCATGCTCTTCCCCCTTTTTGAATTATCAACGAAAAGCGTGTATGTGTATTTCGAAAAGGAAGAATAAAAATACTCCTTAAATTCTTTATTTTTTTTCGTCATGAGTCGACGGTTTAATCTGCATTTTTGATGAAGGGAATTCTTTATAGCAGTTGTAAAATGACATCTATATTTGCAGTATGAACCGTGGTAAAATATCTGAGTAAAAAAAACCCCAAAAACTCATCATTTCTGTCTAGAATTTGATTTTCTAAATACACAAGTCATCAATATTTCCTTTGAAAACATAGCCTAGTTAAAAAAGCTACAAAAAAAAAAAAAAAAAAAAAAAAGCTTCAGTGTCTAAATTCAAAAAGTCACTCCATATGAAAAAAAAAAAAAAATCAACGTCAAATTGCTATCCTTAAAAAAAAAAAAAAAAAAAGCAAGACAAAACGCGGCCTTAATGTGTAAAGATTAGGTAATTATTAACCTTTACACACGATACATCACATCAAAATGTTTTAAAATGGAAGAGATTTTTAGTATTTTAAAAAATATTTACCAGAATTCACAAATGGTTATTTCCAAGTCAGCAGCAAGCAACATAAAATGGTGACAATGTGTTTACGATTGTGTTTATTTGTTTTTACGCTGAACCAAACAAGATATTTGATTCAATAAGGAGTATTAAAAATAAGAACACTCATAAGAAGTGTAAGAAAAGAGTAAGACTAATCGTACTTCATAGTAATTGGGAATTACCAAAAGCATAATAAAAATGATAAATTAAAATTACTTATGATGAACAAGACTAAAATTGTCACGCTTCTTATCGCCAACATTGTGGTTATGAATATTAACTTTTCTTTATATATGACGCCGAAAAAAAGAAAAAAAGAGAATAATTAAATTAATAAATAAAATAAACATTGCTTTCTGTTTAAATTAGACACTTGTTGGAATCATTTTTAGAAAATTTTACTACTGTAGTAGTCTCGTAATAAGTAGTCTTGAGAAAACCTCTGAATTCAAAATGTTATAAAATTAAAATAGGAAAAGAAAAGATCTTGGCTCTTTAAACGATTTATGGCTTAGAATTAATTATCATGCTTTAAACTAATTTACTTTGAATTTTATATTCAAAGTATAGTAAATTTGAAGGCATCAATATTGGAAGCAAAATTCTTACAACACTGCAGTATAAATTTCAAGAAAAGTCATTAAGTAAATTAAATTATTATAATCCCGTAAGCAAGCAAATAAATAAATAAAATAACGTTATTTTTCACTCACCAAACAATTAGTATTCAACCCCAAAATCAGAAAAGATACCCACTGTTCAATATACAGATGAGGAGTAGCACGAATTATATTTAACGAAATAATGAAATGACGGTTTTAACCAAGTGTTAAATAAACAGAGGATAAAATAATCTGTTTTTTTGTTTTTTTTTTTTACAAAGAATACTGGAAAATGAAAATATCTTTATGGCTGAATGGTGAATGCGAATATTATATTTACAATTTACTATGTACGAATCTCTCGATTATTAAGATACAGCTTAAAATTTACATTTTTGTGTCAGATACTCATTTTTTTTCCATTTATACTTCAATTTTTACCGTACGAAAACAAAAATATATAATAATAACAACTGGAAAATGTGAAGTTTAATGAATTACGAAATCGATATTAAAAATGTTCGACATTCCGATTTTGTAATTTTAAATGGAACCGTTAATTCAATGTTCAGTAACAGATTTTTTTTTTTCCCCATAGAGTGAACATAATGAACACTAAAATAAAATAAAAATACTCACCGGAATAAAATATTACCGAATAGGAAGACGAGTCAGAAAATCGTGGTTATAATGATAAGCTTCTATAAATAACAGGCCCGGAAAAACCAAAAACTGTGACGTTATATGTAACTCTATTTCAATTGGTAGCTTCTTAGTTATTTTCTTTTTAAAACTTTCCCTCAAGTAATTATTATGTAACGCTTAAAAAAAATTAAAAGTTAGAATATAAAGTAAGAAGGCCATTAGATTTTAACTTTAATCTCAAACTGGAAATCGTAGTTCATTGCTTTGAGTATTTTATTGTACATCGTCACCTTAACAACACTACTAAAGTATTGCGTGTGTGTGTGTGAATGTTAAAAAAAACAGTCAATACTGAATCATTCAAAGAATATTCTTCCTGTTGATTTTTCAAAGAAAGGAATTCATTAAAAAATATAATGCAATGCCTCATCAGATCTCAATGGATTCAGGACTATTCCGCTATTATTATTTAATTTAATAATTTTTTAAAGTTTCTTTTATGTACTTAGGATGTCAGGACGGATTAATTTTTTTTTTTTTTTCACTGTCTTAGTCTTCTTAAGGCACGCATACCAAAATAATACCAATAAAGGACTGATTAAAAAAAGATAGATCTCTCCTAGTCCTAAATATCTGACACCCACAACCAGATGAAAATGGAAAAGTGGTTTACTTTAAAAAAATAATTCAATGATGACGAGTGTGTTTAAAAATAAAATGCTGCAATTTGCCAAATGAAATGTGCTCTATAATCATTTTGTTGTTGAATAATAAAAAAATAAAATTGTAAGTTTTGTTTACACTCAGACCGGTTAATTTGCAGTAGAAGCACCAAAAGCCCCCGGTATTGAGAATGTATCATTCTGGTGTGAAATTGCCTGGTTATTTCGAAAATGATATTAAAACATTGCGCTCGATTACCGTTTAGAAGTCATGGACAATGCAAGTTCGACTTCTTTCTCGTCACGTACACACCGAATGTCCACCATTACTGGCTTTGTTTACATACATTTCATGATTTGCCTCAAGGAATCATGCGGCGCGGAAGCTTCACTTGTCTTGATTACTGCGCAATGCGCGAAGTTTGAAAAGAATGCTCGAAAAAACGCAAAGTCCAACAATTAAAAAATTACGTGCCTGAAAAAAAAAAAAAAAAAAAAAAGATTTTTTTCTTTCTTTTCAACAATGTTTTTTGGTAAATTTGCTTTTTAACGCCCAAACGCCCGCGCGTTAATACCTCTTAAAATTTTCCCAAATCATCATAATTTCATGTAAGTGTACATGTTGAAATCGAGATAACAATTAAATTTTGATAAAGCCTACCGTTTTGAAGTTATCGACAATAAAAGTTCGAACTCAGTCGCGTTTAGCCGTCGGCCATTACTGGCCTTGTTTAACTACATTCAGTGCGAAACATTTTGCGCACGAGGCTTAATTAAGGGCCTTTTTACTGCTCTTAACTGAACTTACTCGTCTAAAATTACTGCGCATTTAAGTTATGTCGTAAAGCGATAAGTGTGGTTTTTTTTTCAAATGCTTTTTATAGTAAAACTTTTTTTTAAATAAAATATTAAATAATAAAATAAAGCTTTTCCTTTACATTAAAAATAAAACAAATAATAATTAATGCGTAAAGTTTGAACGAACTTTGAAAAGAGCATAATTATTTAATATTTACAAAATAAAAAGAAATACTATTTCTTTAGCACTTTTTTATTTTGTAAAAAAATCATGCTCTTTCTTTACAAAGTTCGCGCGCGCGAACTTTGTAAAAAGCACGATTATCTATAAAATAAAATTAAAATAAAAAAAATGCTTGAAACGAAATAATAATTAATGCGCAAACTTCGGTCATTTATTATTATTTCCTTTCTAGCATTTTATTTTGTAAATATTCATGCTCTTTACAAAGTTTGCTCATTAATTGTTAAAAAACAACACTTATCATCGCTTTACAACATAACTTAAATGCGCAGTAATTTTAGACGAGTAAGTTCAGTTAAGAGCAGTAAAAAGGCCCTTAATTAAGCCTCTGCGCGCAAACTGTTCCGCACTGAATGTAGTTAAACAAGGCTAGTAATGGCCGACGGCTGAATGTGGCCGAGTTCGAAAAGCGATATTTAATAGGAGACGTACTCAGATTTTACATTGGCAACTCTGATTTTTGTACCGTCGTTCAAAAAATTTGAATCACCACATCACCAACTGGTATCCTAATTCCGCGTCGAAGAGATATTAATTAGCATTATGGCTGAGCAAACTGATGCACACACAGAAGCCGCAATAACTGTTAATTTGCCAGCTTACAACAATGTCAATGTTCAAGTTTGGTTCGCACAGTTAACTGCTATATTCAACGCCAAGAGGATAACTTCTCAAACTTCCCGATATGCCTACGTTGTAGAGAAGCTACCGGCGGAGGTAGCGATTGAGGTTTCGGATCTCCTGGATGCGATGCCATCTGATAAACCTTATGATACCCTAAAAGAAGCTTCCTCCATAGAACTGGTCAATCTGAGGAACAAAAGCTGCGTGACCTCTTTAATAACTTGAGCTTGGGACAAAGTAAACCGTCACAACTTCTGCGTAAAATGCGGGTACTATTAGGAAGCAACACAATGTCTGACACAGTGTTAAGACAACTTTGGTTGAACAAGCTTCACGTGAACACCATCCAAATTTTGGCTTCCCTCCCAGACGAAATTGAACTACAAAAACTAGCTGAAATAGCTGATAAAATAGCTGATAACCAGCCAGCTAGTCCTGTGTATGCTGCGACCCAGAGACAGCCAGTAACATCGGTGGTTGACGCAGACGACATGCGTAAACTTAGTGACAGGTTAGCACAACTTTCTATTCAGGTACAGGATATTCAGAAGTCTATGCAACAACAGAAATGCAACTTCACTAATCGAACTCCTGAATCACGACGACGTAGACACAGATCGTTGTCACGAAATAGGGAAAACTATCAGGACAATGTATGTTGGTATTAAATGCCGTAAACCTTGCAGGTTTAGCGCGAATTTCTTTGGCAGAAGATCGACACAGCAAGCGGGAAACGACGTTCTCGGCAACAAGTGAAGACAGCGTTCGCTACCGGGGAAAAAATATTAACCGTCTTTTTTATGTTAAAGACGCCAATTCTGGTTACCCATTCTTGGTTGACACGGGCGCACAGGTTAGTGTGATTCCGCCTACAACAAACATGGCGACCAAAGCTACATCATACAACCTCCAAGCTGCCAACGGTTCTCGAATAGAAACCTATGGTGAAAAATCACTTACATTTGTGGAATAACACAGTAATTTCACCTACATTTTACGCGCGCGCGAGTTTTCCTCCCTTCCTACAACTCTAGTGCGTGTGTGTGTGTGCGCGCGCGCGGTTTGCACCCATTCCTCTCTCGTTCAATTAGACATAGCAGTAGCCATCCTTTTGTCGTCGACTTCGACCTTGCTGGTTACTCCTGATAGCTGTCTAGGACGGATTTTGAATTTTTCCCGCGCGTTTCTTGACGTCTAAGACGTCCAGCGTTTTCCAACTCAGTTGCATCCCTTTTTTTTCAAGCTAGACGGACAACTCATTTATTCCGTGCCCTTAACCCATACGCGGGCCGGAATATCTTATTTTTTAACTAACTAAAACTTCAACATGTCGATATTACACTTTTCCAAGACTCATCCTTGTCTTGATGCAACAGCATGTTGAACCTTCTCCGTTTTCAACTAGAAAATGTCGAGTTCCTACGACACCGTCGTCACTATATATATTTTCCAAGGTTTATTTTTTATCCCGTCTTGATGCAACAGCTTGTTGAACCTTTTCTCCATTTTCAACTAGAAAATGTCGAGTTCCTACGACACCGTCGTCAATATACATCTTTCCAAGACTCAACCTCGTCTTGATGCAAACAACTTTCGAACTTTCCTCTATTTACTACCAGAGTTCTACAACGGTCGCCTTCACACCATTCCAAGACCCAACCTCGTCTTGATGCTAACAACTCTGAATTCTCCTCAATAAAAGTTGATAATCTGTTCATACACCTTTGAACCTTCTAACTACTTTGAACCAGTACCTAAAAAAATATTACATACACTCACACTATCAAACTACACAGTGAGTACTTTTCCTATTTGTGTACACATACACCTTTCGTTTAAGTCATTTTTCCAGAACTTTCTTTCTGATGGAACTATTCCCGCCTTGGCCATCTTGGTTTTCTGTTTTGGTGCGGAACACTTTTACTAATGATCTCAACTGTCAAGACAATTACTTGTTCAAATATAATAAAATTTCATATATGTTTTTCAACCAGACGCCTTTCTCATTTAATTCCGGCTATCTACTTGTATTATTATTTATGCACTTGTTGATTGACCCCTTTTCCTCACTAAGTTCACTCACGCAATATATTCATACTTTGCTTATGGATTCGGTAGTTTTGTGTAGTGTCTGGCACAAGGCTACTTTTTAATAAACCAGTACTGCACGCTACCGGGTCCGCAACACATTAAACCTGTGATTACGTAGATTGTTCACTTGGGTATTTACCATCGCGCAAGTAAAGTCACCAATTCTAGGAGCTGATTTCCTGGCCCATTTTAAACTCAACGTGAACATGTCTTCCCGATACTTAGAAGATAAATATACCGATATTGCAATTAAGGAATTACTTCAAAATTGACAACGGCAGGTATCAGTACAGCCCTACCCACTGCCAACGGTCTTCAACATTTATTACGGAAATATCCAGAAATTCTGACACCGTTCAACTGTATGGAACCCGTCTTACACAATGTGGAACACAGGATACAGACGACTGGTCTTCCCGTGCATTCACCTCCGCGGCGTTTTTGTGATAAATATAAAAATGCTAAGATTGAGTTTCAGCATCTGTTGGACGCAAAGGGATAATCCGTCCATCATCCAGCCCATACGCTTTTATTTTGCACATGGTGTCGAAATCGGAGGCTGGCGCTTGGGGACCATGCGGTGATTTTCGGCGACTTAATGATCAAACAGTCCCGGACAAATATCCGATCCCGCATCTACAAGATTTTGCAATAACGTTACAAGGAGCATCAATTTTTACAAAGTTGGACTTGAGAAAGGCTTTTCACCAAATCCCTGTTTAAAAGACGACATCCACAAAACTGCTGTGACTACACCGTTTGGTTTATTCGAGTTTACTAGAATGCCCTTCGGTCTAAGAAATGCAGCGCAGTCCTTCCAGCGTTTTATAGACGAATTTGCGTGGCTTGCATTTCACATTCGCCTATATTGACGATGTTCTGATTGCGAGTAGGAACATCGAAGAACACACCAATCACGTGGAACAGGTTTTCTGGCGATTGAAGCACTTCGGACTTAAAATTAATTCTAAAAATATGAGTTTGCTGTACCGAAGCTGACCTTTCTTGGTCATGGGATAGATGGGAAGGGATTACACCGTCTCTCATAAGGTCGAAAGAATTCAAAACTTCCCACATAACTACACTTCGACAGCTACATAGATTTCTTGGTTTAGTAAACTATTACAGACAATTCATACCTCTGTGGTGGTACTGAGCAAGCGAAGGACCGGATGTTAACCCTCAGAGGTCTAGATAGCAAATGACCAATACTGGTCTTTGCGCACCAGGCTCGACGCATAAGTTCCGGTGGAAAATCAAAAAGAAATAAAAAGAATATAATAAGCAATTTCCACCAATTAAACGGCCCCGCGCCATATCCAACAGTTTGTTTCAGCATACTGATCTCAGATCCGATGGACACACATAAATAGAACGATGAATTCACTTCTGGTCAGAAAGCCTTGAAGTTACCGTCATAGAATGTCGCTACGCTTTTCTCACCCATCAACCTGACGCCTCCAGTTTTCCTTCACCAACGGAGATATCAAATGACACCTACCAACCCATTGACCTCACCTTTCATCTCCTGGGACCCGCACTTTTTAAACTTAAGTATTCACAAAATGACACTTTAATTCTTTTCATAATCTGATTTCTTTTCTTTGAATGAACATTTTAATAACGGACTTTGTGCGTGTTAATCAAGAAACATTATACTTATCATTGATGTGTATTTAAATATAAAGTGTTTCTGATATACCCTTCTCTTTTCATATTTTGTTTGTTTATGTTATGGTGACCTCAATTTGATTGCTCGTTGAACCTTTAGGCCAAACTAGCAGCTGTCCATAAGTGACTGCTACTGGTTACCTACCTTCTTATCTACGGCAACAATTACCAACGAATATACACTTCCCACAACACCACAGAGAGAGAGAAAGAAAGTGCTGATTCCGCTGACAAACTTGTTACAAAATCAAAGAAAGAGGAACAGAAAGATTATTCTAACTGACGATGCACTGTCAGCATTTAATAATGCCAAGGAAGCCCTGGTAGATTACACCAAACTATCTTACGTTTCGGATAGTGAAGAAGCGACACTTACTTTGGACTTACTGCTGATAGTGTGGGAGCCGTATTACACCAGGAAGTGATAATGAAGAAACCACTTTCATTCTTTTCCGTGAAATTGAATTCAGCACAACGCAAATATAGTGATTTTCTCACGTGAACTACTTTATTTATATCTATCTGTTCGTCATTTCCGACATCTGTTAGAGGGCATGAATTTTATAATTTTATTTGACCACAAACCTTTAAGTGTATGCCTTGCACTCTAAAACAGATAAGTATAACCCTCATGACATAAGACAGCTGGACTACATCGAACAGTTTACGTCCGATATTCGTCACATTAACGGGGAACGACAACATCGTTGCTGACACCCTTTCTAGAGCTATTGAATTCCGTCAAGTTACAGCCATTAGATTTTGACTGTTTAGCCAGAGAACAGCAGAGGGATGCCATAGACAAAAAGTGAAAAGTGATACGTCACAACGACCAATTCCTTTCAGTGCGGCATACTTGTTTTGTGACGTTAGCACTGATCAGCGATCAGACCGGAATAATCCATTATTATGTTAAGACGTTAAATTTTCGACCATTTTCATTCTATGTCTCATCCAGGTCCAAAAGCGTCTCTGAAACTTATTTCTGAGCGATTTGTCTCAAACAAACATGTCTGTAGACATAAAACACTACGCAGACATGTATTAAATGACCTAAAAGTCGAAAGTTCATATGATAACACCAGATCTCCTCCTGGTCACTTTTCTGCACCGGATGGTCGATTTAAACATATCCACGTCGACCTCGTCGGTAAATTAAAATGGAAGTAGACGGATCTTTCAATATTATTTGTTGACGGTTAGTGAACGTTTCACCCTTTGGCCTGCGATCTTTGTACCGCCAGTGTCATCGCACAAACGATCCTACGTGAGTGGATAGCCATATTTGGATGCCCGTCTGTCATTACTACAGATCGTTGACCCCAATTCCAGTCTCCCCTCTTGGCTGAATTTACTAACCTGTTGGGTACT